TATGAAAAAATATGAAATGATCTGGGAAATATGGATATTGCCTGGATAATTTGGTGAAATTAAGAATTCCTATCATTTCTTTTTATATATGACAGTGTTATTATAAAAAGAAATAGGAGGCTGGGATTGTGGCTCAGTGGTAGAGCGCTCGCCTAGCACGGGCGGGACCTGGGTTCGATCCTCAGCACCACATAAAAATAAAGGCATTGTGTTGTATCCATCTACACCTAAAAAAATAAATATTAAAAAAATTAAAAAATGAAAAGAAATAGGCCTTATCTTTTAGAGACACACACTGAAGTATCTACAGATAGATTGATATGGTGTCTGAAAACTAGTTGGGGAAGAGAATAGAGGGATAAGATTGACCCTGAGTCAGCTGGTAACTGTTGAAGCTGGGTGATGAACTTTCTACTGCATTTTGCTTTTGTAGAAATTTGAATTTTCCATAATAAAATGTTCAAACCATTCTAAACTGAATAAAGAAATGGTCTCTTTAAAAAGTCTCTGGTCAAAAACAGGCTTAGAAACTCATGGAAGGCTGATAAAATGGTTAATGTAATCCCAAACAACTCATTGCAAAGTGACCTTTATACCATAGTTGGCTTCAATATGTGGGGAATTAGAGTTAGAAAAGCAGGTCAAGTGGAAAGAAAAGTCTCTGGGTTGGAAAAAGACATTTAGGGACTTCGCTCAGGTCTGGGCAGCCGGGTAGACTCCACCTGTACATTTGCCAGGGGCAGCACCAGGTGCCCCTTTCTCGTCTTGGATGGAGCTGAACAGAACCTTGAAAAGTCACATGTCACAGAAGGCTGTTATCTGTCACACAGAGGGGGTCCAGAACTGAGGCCTTTTCTATACCTAGTAACTTGGTCATAGAGACAATTAGAGGTCACTGCTGTTCTGTTAATAAAAAGAGCAGAAGAAAACATCATGGGGTGAGCCACCCAGGACAGCCAGAGCTTCCAACACTCAAAACACGGACTGTGAGAACAGGAGGCTATCTGCTTCAAGGAAGATATGGAAAGGGCTAAACACCAGGAGACCTGAATTCTAGTCCCCCCCACCCACCACCTCAGGTGGAGACCTGCCTGGCTACAGTAAGTATCAGCGGTTCTCAACCTTGGTTATATTAGGATCATCTGACAGCTTTTTACAGATTTCCAAATCCAGACTGAAACTCAGTATAATTACACTAGAATCTCAGGGAGCAGAGAATCAGACATCAGTAGTTCTTTGAGAAGGAAATAAAACGATCTGGCATTAGGTGGATTTGAGTAAATCTGCAGATAATAGATACATATTGTGATCAGAGATAAGGTACTTTCTTTCTATACCTATTTTTATATCATTATTATTAAATTGTGTCCTGGTTAGTTTGTCAAAATAAACAAAAATGCAACATTTAATGTTAAGGCCGTGTTGTCTCAAACATTTGTTTGAAGAATTATATTTGTGTGACTTTGTTTCTTTCATGAAGTTAAGTTTATTCACCCCAAATTTGCAAAGTGCACACCCACACTGTGGCCATTACCAATGTGGCCTTAGACTTGATTCTGTACAGACCATTCTGTAGCTCTCCCACTCCATCCCATCACTCATCACCATCACCCAAAAGCCTGATTCCCATGTGTGGTTACAAAGCATCAAGACATGTTTTTGCTTTCTGCCTAAGGCCTGTTGTAAAAACGTTGTGACTTTAACAGATCCATTTTTATAAGTAATATGAATGTGAGTTTTTCTCCATTATCCAGCAAAGCTATTTTACTTCACAGGTAAGTCATATCAGGACTCTGAATTACTCAGCAGAAAATGAAAACTCATGTTAATTCACTTATGATCCAATTAAATTTTTTTTCTAGGGATGTCTGAGGAAACATCAGGTACTCTCTAGTGTCTGTCTTTGAAATAGTTACCAAGAAATGATCTATGGAAGAAATTTTTATTTTCAAAAGGGGAACACCTAAACAAATTCTGGCCCATTTTTACAATTTACTTGGTAAATCCATACTGGATAAAAGCACATACATGAAAATATGCATGTGAGATAATGTAACAAGTTGTTTCTACAAGTGTTAAGTGTTAAGCTACAAATATGGTGTATATATTCACGAGCCAAACTTAGTAGTGAATCTGAAAATTATAACATATAAAAGACCAGGTATCCATAGAGCTGACGTCAACACACATAAGAAATTTAGAAAGTACCAAGAAGGGGCAAGACCTCACAGGCCTATTGAGGTATTCACCCTAGTCTAGACTCAGAAATTTGTCTTTTTAGCCAGGTGCAGTGGCACACGCCTTAATCCCAGAGCTTGGAAGGCTGAGACAGGAGAATCATGAGTTCAAAGCCAGCCTCAGCAACAGTGAGGCGCTAAGCAACTCAGTGAGACCCTGTCTCTAAATAAAATACAAAATAGGGCTGGGGATGTGGCTCAGTGATTGAGGACTCCTGAGTTCAATCCCTGGTACCCCCACTTCCCTGCCAAAAAAAAGAAAGAAAGAAATTTGTCTTTTTAGTGTCCCAGAGATGATGAGGTCCAGACAGGATGACTAATGATAACCAAATTCACGAGAGCTGCTAGATAAACCTAAAGGCCAACTTATTTTATTTAAAATGAGATTTATAACAATTTTAGAGGCCAGCTACTCCTCTAGCCCTTGCATTCTCTTCTTATAGGCTGATGCACAGGGAAAGCTAAATTATCATCAGTAAGTCCCTTAGTATCAGAATGAGGCACATTAACTAAGTGAGTCAAATGTGTAAGACTTAGAATAAGATGTCTGGAAGCCTCCATCTCTGAAGATGAGATATGTCTGAGACCTGGACCAGAAAGATGGGGCCTTCTATCTTTGACTGTTCTGGAAAGAACCCACTCTCTCCCATGGCTGAACAACTCCCTGTGATTGAAATCCTCTCCTTTTGCTGCCCAAGAGCTTTGGCTAAGGGCCTTGGTGAAGCAGGGAGTTCAGGACTTCCTGGAGAACCACCCCATCCCAGAGAGGGAGTAACTGCCGCCATGCATCTGGCAAGGTGGGGCAGAGGTATACATTCCAGGAACTGTGGTGAGTGGAGAGGGTTGGCCTCTGCTCCAAAGCCCACCATCAGGTGAAAAGTCCATGATGCCTTCATTCAGAAGGGAGGGGATCTCACAGCTAAATGAGTGCCATCAGACAAAGCTACTGGCAAATCCTGAACTGGCTCCTTCAGGGAAAGTCTTCTGGAACCAAACCTCTCTAAGGGCCCCTTGTCTGTGTCTAGGAGGTAGCTGTAGTTACCCCATGGGAACAGTGTTCACAGGCTCATCAGTCTCCCTCAGTGTCTGCTGGAACCTTCTCTTCACTGCTGTCAGGAGAGGACTGCTCTTCCACTAGGTCTTCTCTCTTCCACCTCTGCTATTTAGGTCCTAGTCCAAGGCTACTTCTTTCATGATGAGGCCTCTCCAGGGGCCCAGGTTTCAGAGCTTGCTTCTTCCTTTGTCTGCCATTGCTCTATGTGTCATTTATCACATAGCATTACTAATAATGAAAATGACAGAGGGTGGGCTCTCTATCTTAGACTAATGGCTAAAACTTACTGAGCACTTTCTAGGTTCTAGGTGTATGCTAAGTGCTTTACATGTATTATTTCATGAAATCCTCAAATCTCTCCCACGTTCTCATTGTACAGATGAGGAGACTGAGACTCTTAGAGATGAGAAGCCTGCCTAAGGTTATGAAATTTATAAGAGACAGGGTTTGAGGGCAAGGCCTTTGAGCCTGTGTTCTCAAAGGCCTTTGAGCCAGTATTGACTCAAGTTTTACTGCGTCTGAGTACACACCTGCCTTTTAAAATATCTCAGGGGTTGGAAATCATGCCTACTTGGCTACAAGCACCCACAGCCTGTTTTTGTATGTCTAGATGGCTAGGGAACTCTTTGACATACTTACTGGTTGTTAAAAAGAGGAAAATGGAAGGGAGAAGAGGTACAGGAGGAGATCATTTGTGAGCAAAAAAAAAAAAAAAAAAAAAAATCTACCTGGCCCTCAATAGAAAAAATATCTGTACTAAATCATTAGTACTTTTTAAACAGAGTCCCTTTAAAAGGTATACTCACACATTGATGGTGGGACTGCAAATTGGTACAACCACTCTGGAAAGTATAGAGATTGCTCAGAAAACTTGGAATGGAACCACCATTTGACTCAGTTTATACCCAAAAGACTTAAAATCAGCATACTACAGTGACACAGCACATCAATATTTATAGCAGCTCAAGTCACAACAGCTAAACTATGGAACTAACCTAGGTGCCCTTCAACAGAAGAATGAATAAAGCAAATGTGATATATATACACAATGGACTATTACTCAGCCATAATGAATCATGAAATTATGACATTTGCCAATAAATGGATGGAACTGGAGACTATCATGCCAAGTGAAATAAGCCAATCCCCAAAAAACAAAGACCAAATGTTCTCTCTGATATATGGATGCTAACACACAATAAGAGGGAGGGGAGGGAAGATAGAAGTTCATTGGATTAGACAAAGGGGAATGAAGGGAAGGAAGAGGGAATGGAAACAGGAAAGACAGTAGAATGAATCAGAAACAACTTTCCTATGTTCATATATAATACACAACCAGTGTAACTCTACATTGTGTACAACCACAAAAATGGGAAGTTATACTCCATGTATATGTCAAAATATACTCTACTGCCATATATATATATATATATATATATATATATATATATATATATATATATAACAAATAAAAAAAGAAAACAATTAAAAGCCCCAATGTCCCTGATTTTCTGATAAGTTATTTTCTGCAACTGAATTTCCTCATGCTGAGAGTGGAAACTGAGCAACTGGCCCCAACGCCTGGGAAGGTGCCAGCAAGGTTTGAAAAACTGAAATTATGCCATCCCTCTGGCTAGCATAGCCTGGATAAATCTATACATACATATTTCCTGACTTTTAATCCTATAAATTGCCTTCTGGGGCGAAGGTCACCATGGCGGCGGCCTTGGCTCGGCTCCGGCTGCGATCCGTCAAGCAGGTTCGGGTTCAGTTTTGCCCCTTCGAGAAAAACGTGGAGTCGACGAGAACCTTTCTCCAAGCAGTGAGCAGCGAGAAGGTCCGCGCCACCAATCTCAACTGCATGGTTATTGCAGACATGAGGCATGACGGCTCCGAGCCCTGCGTGGACGTGCTGTTCGGAGACGGGCATCGCCTGATAATGCGTGGCGCTCAACTCACCGCTCAGGAAATGTTCATCGCTTTCGCTTCCCACGTTCGGGCCAGGAACCCAGCGAGGAGCCGGGACACACCTGGCGCTGGTACTGAACGGTGACATAGCGAAAGAAACCAACAAGCAGATTTTGACTTGGGACAAGGACACTTAAGTGCGACTTCATCATTCAAGTCACTATCTGGAGGGCCACGGAGCAGGGTGGGATGGGAGAGCTTTGCCACTACAATGGTTGGGGGGGGGGCAAGAGAAGATAGGGGTGAGAAGAGGTTTAAATGAACTTGAATTTTTTTCTTTCTTACCCTCACTCACAGCTTAACCCTTTTTAATATGGCTTCTTACATCACTCAAAATACCGTTTGTTCTTGTTTACCAAACGTGCTATTTCCTCAATCCTCAGCTCTCTATCTCATTAGCTTTTGTCACTCTTAATTCACCTTCTCGTGGTACCCCTGCCCCTCTTGGATTTTTCTTGCTTCTTAAACATAAAGGCATACTGCCCTCATCTTTTTTTTCTTCTTTGTGTTCTTCCTAGGGCAACCCATCCCCTGTCATAACTTGAACTATCCTCTCTGGAGTAAAACCCTACGTTTCTGTTTCATTCAAATCCCAATTACTGCACTTTATTCAGGTTACTTACTACCAGCTTCTTCCAATTGCCATCAACATTCTTTGTCTAAAACAGTATTAATTCCAGGAGGTGGAACAGACCTGTAACCCCAGTGATTCTGGAGGCTGAGGCAGGAGGATCACAAGTTCTAGGCCAGCCTCAGCAATTTAGTGAGACCCTTCTCAAAATAAATAAATAAATAAATAAAAATACGAAGGACTAGGATGCAGCTTAGTGGTAGAGTGCCCCTGGGTTCAATCTCTAGTACCAGAAATAAATAATTAAAAAGTTCTTGATGGTTGGGGTTGTAGCTCAGTGGTAGAGGGCTAGCCTAGCTTGTGTGAGGCACTGGGTTCAATCCTCAGTACCACATACAAATAAAAGTCATTGTGTCCATATACAACTAAAAAATATTTTTTAAAAAAGCTCTTGAGGGGCTGGGGTTGTGGCTCAGTGGTAGAACACTCACCTAGCATATGTGAAATAAATAAAACAAAGGTATTGTGTCCAGCTACAACTAAAAAATATTAAAGAAAAAAGGTCTTGTATCACTATTGCGTTCTCCTGCCTGGTCTATATTAATCACTTTTGTGGCTAATTTGATTCTCCCAAAGCACATGACTGCTTAGTGCTCACCACTACCTTCAGTAAAGAGTACCTGAAGTAGTTTTTCATACTGGATTAACCCCCATTAGTGTGCATAATGAAATCAATTTAGGGAATTACATCAGTCTTTTTTTTTTAAAGTGGAATAAAATTTTTAAATGTAAAAAAAAAAAATCCTATAAATTGTAACATTTCCACAGGATGGTGAAGGCAGATTAACTGCCTTCCCAGTTTGAACCAAACTGTGATTAAATTCATTTTCTCCTTCTTATGTAATTTTTTATTCTGATGTGGACAAATCAGTTCATGGGAAGGAACCCTAGTAGGGCCTCTGGCCAGGGATGCCAGGAACACTTTGAGAAAAAATTCCTACCTTACTGATTTTAATTCTTCTATGGGACCTAATACAACATTCCCTCATTTGTTTTCAGAATGAAAGAAGAGCAGTATAGATAAGACAAACTTTCCAAAGTTCTATCAGACCCACAGGTAGAGCTTCTACCTTTCCACTGCTCTGGGATTAATAGAGTACTGCCAAGACATCAGATCTCCATAGACAAATACAGGGTGTGATTCCTCCAAGAGCTGGATGAATTTGCAAAATTCCACCACCTGAACTCTCAAGAGCAACTTGAAGCATCCTGAAAGTCCTGGTTGGCATTCGATGCATTCACTGTGGTGAAAAAATTGGTCATATTAAGTGCATATCTTTACTACTAAGTTTTAAAGGTCTATTTGAGGTATATTCTCTGCCTATCATCCATGGAGATGTTTTTCCCAGGATATAGATAGTCCTTCCCATAACCTCCCATAATTTTAATCTGGGCCACAGTGATGGGACAGTCAAAGTTGGGCAGATCAATCTCTGAAGAATTTGGAATTGGGAATAAGGAACAGGCATCCACTGTAGGAGGATCCCTTGAGTAGATGTAAACATGGAGGCTGAGGCTGGCCAAAGACAGAAGAAACCAGCAGCAGAGGATAAACAAAAAGTCCTGAGAGAAGTAGAGAAAGAGGGCAGGCACTGGAGAGATCACTGCCCCTGAGTGCCATGAGGTTACAGCATAAGTTAGCTGTGTGGGAGTCAGTTACTCGCAGCCTAAAATGTCCTAACAATGACAGTGACATTGCTCTCCTCCTTGAGCATCACTCACGGTTTCTATGAGATCACTTGAGTTTAGCTACAGGAACTAAGACATGGGCATCAAGACAGGAACATTTGACTTGAGTATAAAATACTGTTGCTGAAGGATTTTCAGGGGGACTGTTTCTCTGGCCTCTGCTATGTGACAATTCTAAATCTGATAAGGTGGGAGACACAGGCACCCAAATCAGTGTGTAGGCGTTGTTTTGATCCTAAGTTGTACGAACCAACAGCACAAAGATATTTTTGAGACAGCAAGAGAAATTTGGTTCTAGTCTAGATATCCACACACATTAAGGAATTATTCTCAATTTTGTTAGGAGAGATAATGGCATTGTGGTTATATTTATATCAGAAGTCTGATTTTTGTAGAGATATATACTGAAATGTTCACAATGCCTGGGATTATCTTTAAAATGCTCGAGCAAAATAAAGCAACAAAACTAAATTCCTAAGAGCAAACAAAAAAGGTAGTGGAGATGAATAAATATTAATCACTAATAAAGCTGAGTGATAAATACATGAGGATTTATTATATTATTCTCTCTACTTTTTGTGTTTGAGATGTTCCATAAAAAGAGATATGTAGATATGGCTTTGGATGGATGGATGGATGGATGGATGGATGGATAGATAGATAGATGGATAGATAGATAAAAAATAGGCAGGAAAATTAAATGGAGGTTTTGGCATGCAAGTGGTCTGATGGTAGGGTTCCTCCCCTCATGACAACTGCCACTGAAGGAACTGTCCAAGTATGCCTCTGGTTGTGTCATCCTCCTGCTAGCCACCCTCCAGGGTTTCTGAAGAGCTGCCAGTCACACTTTATCTAGGATGAAGATGTGAATGGTCTAGTCTCTCCTCACTTAATTAGACTTCCTATAACACTTACTTGCCAACTAATTCAATCTTACCATACTGAGCAACCATGTGTGGCCTGTGTCACTGCTTGGCTGTCACCTTAGGCATGGACTGATGCTTCCCCAGCCTGTCTGCAGGACTTTGGATTCCTCTTGTGTGGCCCTGTCTTAAGCTCTGCTAACTGTATGTGATCACTAAGTCCCTGGGGGAACAAGAGTGCCTTGATAACCCCTATTCTGTGTGCACACAGCTAGCAGGTGAGGGCCCTGGCTGGAACCCAGGGCCTCTCAGGCCACAGGCATTCTTTTACCTGGGATTTGATCCAAGTTCAGATTTTTTTTTTCTTCTTCCCTTCATCCTCTTTTCTTTCTCACCAGGGATTGAACCCAGGGGCACTTAACCACTGAGCCACATCCTAACCCTTTTTTATTTTTTATTTTGAGACAGGGCCTCACTAAATTGCTGAGACTGGCTTTTAACTTTCAATCCTCCTGCCTCAGCCTCCTGAGCCGCTGGGATTAACAGGCATGCACCACTGTGCTCGGCTCAGATTTATTTTTTAAAATCCCTGCTAGCCTAGCATAAGCCTCAGGTGTTAGTGTTTAGTGAAGAAAGAGGGAAGGAACCAAGTTAGATATTGGATATAAAAGCAGCTTGGTTATGGCAAATAGCATGGTAATTCAGACCAGTAGGTCAGCCGAAGATGGAAATCAAGTAGCCTTCAAAAGGCTTTCATCTGACTGCAAATCTTCATGCATAACTCCGTTACAATGAAACCGGACAGCCATGGCCATGGGGCTGGACCTGCTTCCCTGGCTCAGGTATACCAGCAATCCATCTGCTCTTCTACTTCCCTCTCCTCAAAGCAAAGTGTCTAGCCCACAGTTCTCTCAACTCACTGCAAGGAGCCCCTCCACCTGCTCCCAGGACCTGACTCCATCCAGTAGCCCTTTTAAACAACTCTCTTCTGGTCTCTTCCCATCAGCATTAAGTATGTTCAAATCTAACATCCCCTAAAAAACAAACAAACAAACAAACCTCTCTTGAGCTCATGCTTATGTCTCCAGAGACTTCTTTTGTTCCTGCCCTTCACAGACAGACATCTTGGCAGAACTGTCTAGCTGAACCACCTTCTCCTTCTGTCTCTCTTCTCAACCCACTGCTGTCTGGCTTTTGCCACCTGAGACTGCTCTCCATGCTCTACCCTCTGTATACTCTACAGTTCCTCCCCTCCTTGTGGGCCCCTCTTTCCATTTTGAATATCTCACTGCCCTTGGTTTTCAAGAGAAAGCCCCTACTCTTTCCCCTTCTAGCTCTCAGTTTTCTCCCTCTCAGGCTTCATTCTCTTTCTCTACCCATCCTGAAAGTCTGGGGCTCTGTCCTGGGCTCTCTTGTCACTTCACAGACCCTGGGGGTAGCCCTAGACTTTTCTATGATTTGATTTCCATCTAGATCTGATGCTTCCCAGTTCTCTGCCTCTGTACTGAACTCCAGACCTCGATGTCCATATGATGACCTGCTAGACAACTCCATTTAGAGTTTCCTCAAATATAACTTATACAAGATAGAACTCATCATCAACCAGGCCCCCAAACAAACAAAACTGCCCAACACGTTAAAACCTTACTACTCTTTATGTTTCCTAAACTACTACCAGGAGGTATCCATTTGCTCAGACTGAAAATCTGGGCATTTCCCTTGACTATCCTTCTCCCTCATATGCCACATGTCACCAAGTCCTTCCAACACTATGTTTCAAGTTCTATCTCAAGTACATCCCTTCTCTCTATCCCCATTGCCAACATGGGGTCCAGGGTTTCATTATCTCTTCCCTGGATCAGCCTCCTAGCCAAGTCTTGCTTCCTTTTACCATTCTCCACACTAAAGTCAGATAATCTCTCTCACATACATACGCAATTCTGCCCCTTTCCTAACTAAAACCCATCAGTGGCCCTCTAAGTCTCTCAGCTTCAAGTTCAAACTCCACAGCATAGTGTGCATAGGACTTGCATGATCAGTCTCTGCCCCTTGTTTTCTAGTCCAGCCACAGGGAACTTCTGTCTATTCCTCTATGTGTCTGCTTATCCTGCCTAGGAGCCTCTTCCCCTTTTGCTGACCTCTCTTACCTAACTCTGATCCATCCTTAAGTTCTCAGTGGGAACACCTCTTCCTCCCAGAAGCCTTCCTCAGCCCTTCCTGCTTGAGTTAGATGTACCTATGCTGTGCATTCACAGCACACACACCCCCCCCACTTACCAGAACCTACTTATTTCCCTGGGTATCCAAAAGAGTCCAAAAGAGCAAGGCTGGCATTGCCCTGGCCATTTTTCTTTCTCTAGCATCTGGCCCAGGGCTTGCAGATAGTAAGCACTTAGTAAACATTACCCAAATGAATGAACAAAGTTTGTTGACTTCTGCACTGGGAGCTCTCAGCTGTCTGCTCTGCTTTAATGTAGGGCCCTATAAGGTTGATTATGGAGCAGGTGGTGGGGTGAGACACTGGAAGGCAGGAGATGCATTCTGCCTCACACTGAGAGGGAAAAATGATCCTAAGAGGGCATTACACAAGATCTTGAATGGGAACAGATTCAGAGTTGAGACAGGAAGTACAGGCTTTCTCCTCTATCCTGTATGGAGTGAAAAAGCATCTCTGCCTAAGTGTGGAGAACCATACAGGGCTTTTGAAAATGTACTGCTCTGGTTTGGCCCAACTAAGCTGACCCACTTCTCATGCACTTCTTTCTGCTCTTTTGTTGTCATTGTAGAATGTTCTCAGTACTTATGTATCTCATAAGAGCCTTCTGGCAAGTTCACACTCTTGGTCTGCTCAGAGCTAAGGCCAGAACAGCTTGGATTTGGAATTTGCTTTCAGAGCTCTTAGAAGGCGTTAAGCTCTGGTTATTTCTGAGTAACCCCAAAGGGCCCTCCATACTTGGGTGGGTTCCAACCCCTCCCCATCCCTCCCCTTACAATCAGGCAGAGGTAGGCTTGATAGAGGAAGGAATTCTGGGCAAATTGTTTACTCAGGGTGAGGACTTCACCCCCACCCCACCTGATCCAGCCCTCCCTTTAGGCAAGGTCATTATCAGCAAAAGGCAAGCTGCATTTCTCTCATGGGAATGTTAAAGAGAGAGTTAATAAAAATCTATCTTATTAACAGCCTGACCTACCAGCATTGATCACATTAGAAATGACGCGGCACACACAGTCCCCATTATGTGCACGGGGCAAGGCTCAGCCGAGCTCAAAAAGCCACTTAAACCCATGCAGGAGTGACTCCTTCAAGGGCCTGAAACATCCCCCAAACTAATAACCCCGACAAAGCACCGCCAGGGAAAATTCCTTGCGGATTTGAGATTTTCACTCTTTTAATCTCCTAACTCAATAAAGCAAACACTCCCTGCAACAAATTAAATACTTTTATTAAAGGGTTCCCTCCCCCACTCTCTTTGATGTGGATATTGTAGGACCCTGAGAGTCTTCGTGGGGGGATGTCTCCCACTCTCCATCATTGTCCTCTGTTACTTCAAGGAGGCCCAGAATTGACTAGAATTTTCTAATTCTTGGATTCTGCAAACTTCTGAGAACTCTGGCTTCCCAGAGGTGGGTCCCAGAGTCTGCTAGCTCAGGGAAATGCTTCCCATTCTTTTGATAGTGTGATAGGCTCCAAATAGGTCTGACTCAAGCCCCTCTTCTCTCACAGTTTTCCGGGAGGAGGACCCAGACAAGTGGTCCAGGCCACAGCGGGCCTTTTAGCCAATGGTCAAATCCTTCTGACTTCACTGGGGGTTTGCTGGTCATACCTTGAAAAGTTAGCTGGAGAGATGATTACAGGAGGATGGGGCAGAAGTAGAGAAAGGGAGTCAGGTCTGGAGGCCCTCAGGTGTTCTCCTCCACTGCCTCCAAGTTGGCCCTCAGCCAGTCCCCTCTGGGATCTGCCTGGAATTGTTTTCAGCCATTTGTACTTCTGGTCACCACTCTCTTTTCAGCATGGGTTTGAGCCAGCTATATTGAGGCCCTTCCAGGGTCTCCTCAGATGCTGTCCTCAGAAAGTTTGCCTTGCAGAAAAACCTACCACCTTGCAGATGGTACCTGCCAGAACACTTTACAGTTTAAGAGGAGCCTCTTAGAACATTTTCTTCTACAGTTTATATCAGTTTCAATGCTTGGTCTGTGGTGCTGGGGGCACTATGCATCCAAACAGGAAGAATAGAAACAGGCAACAATAGGGTCTCTGAGGGCCCTGAAGCCTTCTCAGCAAGGGCTCATGGGTATGTGATAGTCCCACATAGTGGGTGTGATCCTTTCGGGCAATTATTCCGGGGGTGGGGGATGTTCTGAGTGCAGAGCTTGCCCAGGGTGGGGAGAAGGCACCGTCTATTTTCTAGACCTCTGAAAGACACTTTTCTCACTCTGCACACACTTTGAGCAGAAGAGACACATGCACAGGGCTTCAGGCTTTGGCCCCAGGCCCTCACAGCCACAATAATCTAGGTTGGGCACTGGTCATTTGAAATATCCTGCCCCCTCTTGTCAACTCTGGATAGATGGAGTTCTAGGGTTGCTGGGCTCAGCAGCTGTTCCCATTTATCTCTAACTCTAATATTAAATTGCCTTTAGACCTGCCTTTAGTCCTCCTCTGAAGTCAAAATAGAATCCCTAGAAGTTGGAGAGGGGCAGGGAAGTGGCTGAGAAAATAAGGAAAACCCAACAAAGTGTCTAAGCCCTCAAGCCGGGGAGTCAGACAGGCCTGGGCTAGAATCCAGACTCAGCCACCTGTGTGCTCTGACCCTTGGCAAGCTGCTTGTCCTTCTTCACCCCCGGATCCTATCAATAAAACAGGAAATAGTTTCCATTTCATCAGGGTCACTGGTGTAGCTTGAATGAGATGAGACTGTGAATCACTCAGCAGGTAGAGTTCAATGAATAGGCTCCTGGTACTGCACACAGGGCTGGGCCCAGCTGTGGAGCAGGGATTCATTCCTCCCGAGGCCTGTGGGGACTTGCTAGTCCAGTGTGGCCTTTTCCCAGTTGCCCCAGGGAATCCCAAGGATGTTGAAATCTGCTGCTTCTCACTGCACAGCAACTGCCCAGGCCACTGAGGAAGGTGGGTGAGGGAGGAGCCCAGGCTACAGTTGGAGAGAGCTGTCAGGCCCTGGGTATCACGGTGGCCGCCACACAAAGAGGCCCTGGGTATCATGGTGGCCGCCACACAAAGCCAGTCCTGGGCACAGCTGGGAGCTAGTTCATGCATTCTCAACAGGGCACTATTGCCTTCCAGGAGGGAAAAACCGATTTTTAAGAGAATGAAAAAAAAAATGGTAGCTGACACTAACCATTAGTGATTTGCAGTACTCCAGAGCTCAAATATGACCAACATTATTCCTTAATATTTAATGTCTCTCATTAGAATAAACTAAAATTTAATTCATAAAGTTAATTAAAATTATTTTCCATCCTGGGGGAGGAGGGGCATATTCAGACACACACACACACACACACACACACACACGATTGAAAAACATCAGGACAGACTATCTTTCAGACCCTCTTCACATTCCTCCCATTGTCCCTCCTGCTGCTCTTATCATTTCCTTCCTTTTTCTTGGGCTTTTTGGAGTATGTGACACTGTTGACCAGACCAGTTCAATTCAGGGGCCACTCAGTGGCAGGCACCAGAGACATGGGCAGCACTAACCACTCCTTACTCTGACCCTCCCTCAGCTCCTGTGACTCCACCAAGCACTTCCCCTCCAGCCTTCCAGGTCTCCTATTCTCTCTCCTTCCCCTGTATCTAAAGCTCTTTCTGCACCCCCTCTTTCCTCATGGCTTCACCTCTGAAGCTCATTCTACTTGTTCAGCCAAAAATGCTATACCACATCTTTTTTTTATTTTCCCCAGCAGCCCACTAGACCTTTCCATCTGGATTTTCCCTGCCACTCACAGCGATCCCATCATCCCAATAAATGAACTCTTCACAGTACCTGTGAGGTTTTGGGTACCCTGGTGCCCCTACTCCAGTATGGGTCCCATTCCCACAAGAACCTCTAGAGGCTCTGGCCTATAGAAACAGTTTATTGCTGGGGGAAAGAAAGGTCAGAATTTTTGCAGCCAGTACCCACCACACCCCCAGCTCCTACTTTACAAAATGAATTTTACAATCATTCTGTGCATAGCACACATTCTCCTTCCTCCAGGAAGCCCCCGCCCCACCCCCACCACAGTTGCTTGGTAGTTTCCCTTCTGCAGCATATACTTTCAGCCATTTGATATTACCATTAAAGAATATATGTTCTTTTATTATTCTTTCAAGGTCTCATGGGTGACTGTGCTATCTTCCCGCTTTTTATTTCTTTAAGGATAAAAACAAGTTTCTGTTTGCTCTTTAATATCCAATACAATTGTGGACCCAAAGGATGAAAGGCAAGAGAGTATGTGTGGTCCAGAAAGTTCCCTGGCAGACTCAAGTTGCAAGGTGTTACTCCCACTGGGAGGGTCAGCCCAACTGGGTCCCTGGGGAATACTGCAGTGGGAAGCCACCCTCTATTTCCCTCCTGGGGCTCCACCTCACCTGGCTGACTCCTTCCACTCCATCTGGTCCCCGTCATGTTGCAGAGTGTCCATCTCTGTGAAGAGAGTGGGGTTGGGAGCCTCATCTTCCTCCCCCAGGATGTCCTGGAGCTGCTCAGCAGCTGGAGACCCTGAAAAGGAAGGGTGGGAGGCTGTGCTGAGTGCCCTATGGAAGGCAGGAGGGCTACAAGACCAACAGAAATGGGGCAAGAGGGCTGGGTTGAGGCTCAGCGGTAGACACTTGCCTAGCATGTGTGAGGCACTGGGTTCAATCCTCAGCACCACATAAAAACGAACAAATAAAATAAAGATACTGTATTCATCTACAACTAAAAAAAATGATAAAAAAAAGAAATGGGGCAGGAGTCAAAGGAAAAGGAAAAGTATGTCCTGATTTAGTAAAACTAAGTCTAGCTTCTGGATGAAGCTGAATTCACATTACTTTGGTTGGATGTGGGTAAGATAAGGATTTGGTCTGTATTTAGACTCAAGAGTCTGGTGGTTGAACAGTGGAGAAGGATGGAAAATAGCCAAAGTCAGGACAGCAGCAAGAACCAAGAACAGAATAGAAAAGTGAAATATGCTGTAACCCAACTTGATCCTAACAAACCCAGGAGGGTCCTTTTTTTCCAAAACTGACTGGTTTGACTAACTCTTTCAGGAGCTGACTACCTCCTGGAAGGTGATCATTAAGAGGTAGTTAGCTATGCAAAAGAACATGTTTGCACCAATGTGCCACGTGGGCCACTTTCTTCATTGGCAAGGTGGGCGTGTTCTTGAGTGCCCAGCCTGATCCCCAATGGATCACTGGAAATTGCCATCTGAGTGTCTCCTCAAATCTCAGTGACCTATACTGAACATGCACCCTTCCCAAACATTCCTTCCTTCCTTCCTTCCTTCCTTCCTTCCTTCCTTCCTTCCTTCCAATATTTAGGAAGCCTATTATGTGCTAGGCATTGTTCTAGATATTGGACTATATTGCTGTGAAAAGACCCAAGTGTCCTTGCTGTCTTATGCTTCTGTTCTAGTGGCAGAAACAGATAATAAATAAGTAAACAAACCCATAAATGACCTTTTCAGATAATAATACGTGTTCTGAAAAACAAAACATGACCAGGGAAGCTACAGGAGATAGAAAGATCATGAAAGGCATTCGAATTGTGATTTAAAAGATGAAAGTGAGCCACTTCCACACATCTGGAAGAAGAGCATTCTGGATGTTCCAGACACCCTGAGATAGGAATGTGCCAGTCTGTGTGGCTGGAACATGGTGAGCAAGTGGGAGAGAAGAATAGCATGATGTGGAAGTGGTGAGCAATGCCTTGGCTAAAGGCATCTCTGTCCCCTCCAATGCACAGGCTAGATACCCTAGGGTTCTCATCACCTCACCTGTCTTTCCCTTATCTCCACTTCCACATTAGAATTTTCAAGATACATCCACTCCTCCTCAACCCCATTGACCTGTCCTGATCCAATCTCCCATCAACTGCCTCCCAACCTCATCACCCTCTCCTTCCTTCCAGTCTCTCATACCCTCAGTCTGTCATTCCATTCTGCCCTCACTCATTTCTCAGCAGGCCCCCCATGGTCAGTAATTTCAACTCTTCTTTCATCATGTCTTTCACTTGATTCCTTCTTGACTTGCTGATAAAACCAGCCAGTCAAGGCCCAAACAAGAATTCACTGACCTGTTCTTCTCTGCAAAGGTGTCTGAGGTTTCCAGGGGGAGGCAAAGTGCACAATGGACTTCTAATCTATGCAGACCTGGGCACGAATCTCAGAGTTGTCACTTATTCATGGGTAAATTCAGCCTAAGTGAACAGGGTTGTGGGGAGGAGGAAATCATTTAAGGAGAATAAAATACCTGACACAGGGCTTAAGATGAAAAAGATGAAAGTGAGCCACTTTCACAGGTGCTTACCTCCCCTCACTGCCAATCCCAGACCTCAGGTACATGAGCCCTGCTATAGAAACCACTCAACAGTGCAAATGGAGAGGTCTACCCTCAGCAGGTCTCAAGTGCAGCCACCTCCCACTCATCCCCATCAGTTCCCCTCCCTGTACCCTTCTTACCCTCGATGCCATTCCTAACCTTTGCTCCTCTCTTTAAGCTTCTTGATTCATCTTCTACCCCACTTCACCAAGAAAATAAAGGCTATCAGGCATGAAATCCATCAAGAGTCTTCTCTTTAGTCCTTCTGTGTCCTCACTCCTACTGCCATCCATCTTTGAACAAAAGGAATCCTTCCTCTTGACTAATATGGCTCTTTCTGCCTTCCATCATCTCCTGCTCCTATCACTGCAGTAGCCACCCTCTGTCCCACTGCCTCTGGTTGCAAGGTATCACCATGGCCCAAGTAGCAACAGAGTTTGTTTTTAACACATTTCAAACATGTTCATGTAGTGGATTCCTGGGAGTCACAGTGCTCTTTAGGTAGTACCTTAGAATATCATGCATGAGTTCAAAATAATTTTACTAGCAGAAAACACTATGTAGATCAAAGTAACTCATTTATTTATGTTGATTTTATTTCTAAAAGTTTCTATTATTGTTTTTAATTTATTTCCTTTTCACTGGCTTATTGATTGCTGACAGTCACAAGATTTAAGGAAATTTTATAGAAGAAAACCAACAATTGAGAAAACTCTATTTTTTCTTCAAATTGGGAGAAGACTATGACTGTTTGCTTCTAGGGACCACACACCAATTCTCCATGGGATCAGAGTTTAATAATTACTCTTTTTTTGGCAATGCTGGGGTTGGAATCCAGAGCCTCACACTAACACTCTATCACTGAGCCACATCCCCAGCCCTCAATAATTACTCTTAAAATGTAGATTTCATTATGTTACCATCCAGGGGAAAAATTTTCACCAGCTCTCCACTGCCTAAAGCCTAAGTTTCGTGATAAGACTCAAAACATTTCTTGTGATCTGGCCCTGACCTGTCTGTCTTTCTAGGTTCTGGTGTGTCCCTTACCAAGCCATTCTGGATCCCAGCAACCCTGGATACCAGCTGTCCTGACCCCAGCTCTTGCTGATCCCAGCCACACCAGAGCACACATGGTTCTCTGAAGAGGAGGGCAAGCCACCCCTTGAGACTCTGTGCCTAGTACTCCATAACTCTGGAGTCCCCTTCCCCCTTCAAAGCCATGAAGAAAGAAAATAAATGGAATGACCATGGAGAGATGAGGTGGGCCAGAGGGCAGGAGGCCTGAGCCAACCCTGAATGGGGCATTACCTGCTCCCTGGAATAGCCGAGTGCTGGAGTCTCCGGCTGTCGGTGCTGCCTCTGACCCCAGCCTGTTTTTCCTGCTGTCACTCTGGCCACTGCCTCCACAAGTCCTGTTCTTCACACAACAAACTCACTTTTGTTTCCAGTTAAGCAGCTGGAGAGATGTAGTGGGAGGTGGAGAAGGAAGAGGAGGAGGAGGAGGAGGAGGAGGAGGAGGAGGAGGAGGAGGAGAAGAAGACAGCAAAGGAGGAGAAAGAATGTGTGAAAGAAGACTAGGGTGATGGAGAGAGAGGGCTATATGTAGAGAGAACAGAGATGTGGTAAGTGTGAAAGAGATTATAAGAAATTATGTGAGAGAGAAACACTACATTGAAAGTGAATTAAAGATACAGTATGTGAGAGAGAGAAGAGAAGGAGAGAGAGGGAGATCTCAGGTGCACTGGAAAAAAGGGCTGAGTGGCTGCAGTGGAAACTAGCAAGAAGCTGTTCCCTACAGTAGCACGGTTGGCGGCGGCTAAGGACCTGCGAGAGGACTGGCAGAGCTGCCCCTCCCTCTCCCAGTGTGCCCTTCCTCCTTTCCTGGAAGCTCCAGGACAGCCCAGGCCCCTCTCCTCAGACTCCTTTATAAAGGCCCTGGTAGGATTTGCCTTGAGACTCCCGGGGCCTCCTTAAGAGCCCCTGCCTAGGGTAAATTGTCTGGAGAGTGGCGTGGCAAGGCCTTGGGGTGGAGGTAGGGTGCTGGAAGAAGGTGTTTGCTGTGGGGGCTCAACCTTTCATAGCAAGCAATGTTTCTTCAATAGCATTTCATATAACTGCTTTCTCTCCTTTCCCAACTTTAAATGCAAACTCTGGGTCTTCTTCCTGTTTGACCATGTGAGATAAAATTCCAAAAGTTCTTATTATGTGGGTGTTTTCTGAGAGCCCATGGTTAGTGGGAACGGGTCACTTCAGGGTGTGTGGTAAACCTCACTGGGGAATTATTTTGCTCCTCTGAGAAACTCCTAATCTCCTGGGTTTAGTTCAGCAAGTGCTTACTGAGTACTTAGAATAAGCCAAGGTTGATTAGAGGTCACTGAGTGGTGGCAGCTCCAAGAAGCTACAAACATTGAATTTCACTAAGTCTTAGAGCTGAGAGGGAGCTGAAGGATGGCTGTGTCCAAACACTTCATTTCACAGATTAGAAAACTGACACTCACTTTACACCACAGAAGGCCCCCCAGGCTTCAGTGCAGGGTCTGGGAGAGAGGGAGCCCACACTTTCTGACATCTTCCACTCCACATTGTCCCATTGACTGGTACTATTGACTACATGTTCATACCTAAGTCTTGAAAATCTGACATGCCCATTATAAAGGTGAAAAAACAGAGGCAGAGAGTGAGGGCCATGTGTTGAATGCTGGGCTCCAAGCAAAGCCTCCATCACATAGACCTCTGTAGCAAGCCTCCCAGAGTTTCTGCCCTCATGGGAAGTGAGTGGCTGGGCTCCCCTGAGGGTCCTGGGCCCCACAGCTTGCACTGCACTGTGGCTGAGGTTGGCCCAGTCCCTCCTAAGTGCTGCAGAGCAGCCACTGCAGGTCACACCAAATCAGGTGGCTTCAAAACATGAAAAAGAGATTACCAAGGATGCCAGAATGATCCTCTCTTTTAACATCAGCCAAGACCTGGGTTCAACACTTTACACTAATTACTAGTGGTAGGATCTTGGTAAGGCACTCAACTCTCTGAGCCTTAGTTTTCCCACTCATAAAATGGGAATAATTATGCCTACTATCCTGGATTGTTGGAGAGTAAAGGAGATTATATATATAATGTAGCTAGCATAGTGCTTGGAATACAACACTCAATACATGATGTTGCTATTATTGCTGTATCTAGGAGGTGTGACCCTTCCTCCCTTATTACCAGTCACCAGCCTGTCCTCTCTGAGCATTCCAAGGGCTCAGTCTTTTCCAGTTTCTAAACACCCCTGTCCTTCCCCTGCCTTGATGCCCCTCCTTCCTGCCCACAGAAAGTTTAGCTCACCACAAGCTGGCCTACCTCATCAGGGTTTCTCTAATGTACTGCAGGTCCTACATGCATACAGTAACTTACAAGTTCATCTGCATAATGAGAAATGCCACCTAGCCAACTGTAAGAGTCACATAGCATGGGCACAAATGGAGGAATGAATTCAACAAGCAGTTACTGGGAGAAACACAAGCTCAGTGGAGATGAGTTTCAGGAAGCAGGGTGGAGACTTCAACTCCTAGTAAAGACTCAGGAGGTATTTTTGACCTCCAGGAAGTCAGCATCAGGATTTCAGAGATTCCATCTCTCTTAGGCTCCACATTAAATGACACTCAGCTCTGGAGGTCAGAGTTTGTCTTGTTCACATCACGCTGCTGGCCCCTGACATGGGGCTCACACAGCAAGGGCACTCAATAAATATTTGCTGGGTGAGTGAATTTGACTGATTAACACTCATGAGCACATCAGCTGGGATTAGCTGCAGCAAGAAAGGAGCCAAGAATAAGGAAATGGAGCTGGGGGTTGAGCAGGGGGGTAGCAGGAGTTGCTTTGAGTGGCTTGAGGCCACAGAGTATTGGGGAGTGGGAGACAAAACCTGAGAGTGCTAAAGTCTTTCTTGCCCATTGTATTAAGCAGGCCTCTCCCCATGCCCTAGGACTGAGGATTGGACCCAGGGGCACTTTACCACTGACCTACATCCCAGCCCTTTTTATGTTTTACTTTGAGACTGGGTCTCACTAGGTTGTCCCAGGCTGGCCTCGAATTTGCCATCCTCTTCCCTCAGCCTCCCGAGTAGCTAGGATTACAAGCATGTTAAGCACCACTACACCTGGCATGAAAGCCTTTGAGAGGGAACTTGGAGGCTCCCAGTACTAGTTTCATGGGCAAATTCTTTTCTCTGAAACTGTACATAAACTTCAAATGTACTTTCTGAGAGAGGAAGAGGAGAGATTCCTCCCATTTGTGCATATGGGTCTGTCTGTCCAGCCATGTCTTCCAGCTTCATAAGGATGAGTTGCTGGGAGCTGTTGGGTAACACATGACCTATGCCCTTGGCCACAATTAACTGGATCAGGAGCAGTTAATAAATTGGACACCTAACCTAAGCCTGAAATTTTGAACCATGTCTCTGAGTTAGCTGGGCCTTTCCTAATGGTTCCCAGGAGAGAGAACATATAAACTGTAGTTAGCCTAGGGCACAGACAGGCAGAAAGGGCTGAGCTGCAGGGAAACAGGAATGAAGAAGACCTGGAGCTGAAGCAGAGGAGACCATGCAGCCCCAGAGAGGGGACTGAGAAGATGTCATATCCTCCGACTGGAGCCTGACTGTTCTACTGTCTTGGGACTGTAAGAAACTCCTTTGCTTTTACAATATAAGTGATTTCTCTCTCCTCCCTCCCCTCTCTCTTTCTGTCTCTTCTTCCTTGCCCAATCCAGCTCAACTAGGTTTCTGATACTGTGATAAAATTACCTTCTCAATCATGAGTCTCCACATGTAAAATTCTAGGGTATGGAGAACCTTCTTGAAAACTGTAAGTCTAAGAGTTATAAAGGAATGCTGAGTCACTGTGATGAAATAGAACAAGAAGGTGTGGGGAATCGGTCAAAGAAAGTGGAGCAAAGCAGAGGCAGATTAAGCTCAAGGAAAGTCACCTTGGCCCTGGCTCTGAGGAAGGAAGAAAGCTCAGCTGGGTCAGGGGGACTGGGAGATGCTGGCATGTGCATGGCTAGTTCCCCCAAAATGCTCATGCATGATCAGAAAGATCTCAAGTGTATTGGAGCAGGGGGACTTCTGCCAAGGCTCGCTGAGAAATTTAAACAAAGGATCTCTCAGCCTTTTTCTTCTGAGTCCCCCAGGTCACTGTGCTCCTCCAGTTTTAGAAAGGGTATCAACTTCGGTGTGAAATTAAAAAGACCCTGAGCATTTGTAGGAGACCCCACGGGGAAAAGAGAATGATGACACCCATCTTGCTGGCGTTCACCCACTCTGAGAGAACCAAAATGGAAGAAGGCAGTTGAATGTTCCACATAATTCATAATTTAGGAAGTATAAAATGTCTCAGTCTTCCACTTGCATGTTGTTTTTATTATTTTGTTTTTGTGAATATGAATGCAATAAAGTAAAGATATTATCATTTAAAACCAACACAGTTGCTTCTTCTCCTTTCTAAGCCAAAAGGGAGCTCAGAAACCAAGCAACAAGGTACTGTGAGAAAACCCAAAAGGGCGGTGATGGTGGGCTAGGAAGCACCAAAAATATGGTAGGAGACTGAGATACTACAGACCATGGTGTCCAAGGACAAATTTTCAGTGGTCAAAGAATTTTTAACAATAGGGATACCTAGTGTCTCATTTTCAAGATTGTGCATCTCTGCAAGGTTCACGAATCCAAAACTTCCACAAAGCCTGCTGCTCACACATAGGCCTTAAATCACCAATTTAATGGAAACCAAAGAACAAAACTCCACAACTGAATTGTCGCTGAGGTGAAAGCAGTGAGCAGATACAGGAGGCAAAACATAGCAAGACTGAGCTCACAGGCATGAACTCAGAACCAGGGTGATACTGAGACTAGAAGCCTCTGGAAACCCATAGACATTTAAGCAAAGGCATAGACCTCCCCAGGATGTGGGTGAGGAGGCTGGAGTCCATTTTAGGTAACTCTTAAAGAATAAGTTTATTAAAACTTTATACTTATCAGGGTTTTCATTTGTTCATTTGCAAACTAGGGTGCTCCACATGAGTCCTCCTTAAGGGGTTACTAACTCAGGGTTTTCTTCTAATAGAGTTTTTTGTTTTGCTTTTAGGAGAATAACTCTTGTGCTTGAGGAGGGAATGCTGTTTACAATGGTGATTACTAGAGATTCAGGATTTAAGGCATCAAATGACAAAAGGGATGAAGAATAAATACAAATACATTTTCATGAAATCATAAGAAGTTATTTTCTCTTCAAAAGGGATCCTTACTTCATTCCAGCTTGGGAGACATGACCTGAAGTGTCCTGACCTACTAGGCTTTCCCATTATCTCCCCTGTTCCATAGTCATGCCAGGGACAAGCCAATAATGCACACGGTATGTGAGTTGGCCACAAAGGAAATGTATCTAATGAACAAATATACCAAAGGATTCCTTTGGTTCTCTCTCCTTTGGTTTCCAGTTTAAACCAATGTTCCCTTAACTGGATCAGAAACCACCAAAGCAACCAAAACCCCACTGTTCATAGTCACTTTTGTGATATGGTGTGTTACCTCCTCCAAACCCTTTGAGCATAGAACATCAATTCTAAACTTCTTTCCTCTTCTCTAATTCAGAAGGGACTCAGCAGATTAAATTTTCAAAGGGCAACCTCACCCCTGAATGTAGGTGGGGGGCTCTGGGGGATGAGACCATATCAGTATGCTTTTGGCATCCAGAACTCACATGGGGAGCAGGAGGTCTGCCCACCAGGTTTGGTTTCTTCTTAGCCTCTAATGTTCTTACTCTTGAGTGTGTGTGTGTGTGTGTGTGTGTGTGTGTACTTACGCATGTGCGTTTTTATGGGTGCATGTATATTTTAATCAGAGTACATCTCTTATTCTGGACTCTTTCAAAGGACTCCTCACTACTCCATCTTTAACACAGACATATTTACTCTGGAAAAGCCACAGGCCCCTGGTAGATTTGGTGCCAATGAGGAGTCTTATTTGGTATAGGAATCTGCATGATAGAGTGTGGCTCCAGTGACCTTTAGGAGGTGCATAGGTTTCCTACCAGGACACTAAGACACAGTCACTGATCTGACACTCTTTTGAAAGTGTAGATAGTAAAATAAACTCATTTTGCCATGCTCAAGATGGTACAAGTATATAGTAGAAACCAATTAAATACCATTGTTAGGTAGATTTAAGATATGCTGAGGGTTAAATCATGTACCCAGAAACATTTTAAAGCCTAGAAAGAATCAAATGTCATAGCTATTCTCTAGAATTCCAATCCTTTTTTACTCCTTTAAAGATTAACAATTTTCTTTCCACAGGAAGGAGCAAGATACTGACTTTTAATTAGCCTATAACTGATTTCTACAGGAATAGAGAAAGTACTGGGGGGGCTTTGTGGTCCTGAAAGAATGCTTCTGAGGGGTCCCTATGATGCAAGATTACTGGACAATTCTGTCCCAACCCTTTACGTTCAAGGTATATAACAAGGAGTTAAGTTGATTGAGTGCAACATCCCAGGCAAAATTCTCATGTTTGTTATTGGTTCTTAAGACAACCGTGTAGTATTTAGGAATTTAGAGAGAAATAATTCCAAGAATTAAACCTTGACATACACATACACACCTATGTGGAGGTTTCAAAATCCACATAGGGAGACATAGGGCTTCAGGCTGATTGTAAGCGTTCATGGGCACGGAGGCTGATCAGCAAGGGAACCAGAGCAGTAGGGGCCCTGACAGCAAAGTTGAGCCACAAGGGCATTACCCACATTCTCCAGAGAATCTCCTCTGCCCTGCTGTGCCCCTCTGGACCCACTAGCAGGATGAATCCCCATAATATATGTGCCGTCAAGGAACTCACGAGTCCTGCTGATAAAATCCACGCTGCCGTGCTGACTGCTTGTTCCTCTCCCTGGGTTGTTCAGTTGTTCCTGCTGTGGCTTGTCTGGCCGCAGTCCCCAACGAACTTTTTGTAGGCCTGAAAGATGTCCCTTCTGGTCACTTTTTCTTTGAGAGTAACGTGGGACTGGAAGCCCAATATGGATGGAAGGGCAGTCTACGAACACAGCACAAAAGAGAAGGGGATGCAGAATTACTAAACATTGGCATTTCTCCATAATATCCACTAGTTACAAAAAGATGGGGTCACAAAAGCAAAATGAAAACCAAAGGGGTGCCTGGATGGGGCCAAAGTCCCAAGACTTAGGTTTGACAGAATTCCATTTCTGAACCACCTTAGTAGTTGCTAGAAGGAGTACCTTGTACGCTAGTATGTAACAAGTTTTTTTTTCTTTCACACATTATACATTGGCATTATATCATTGAATTCAAACTAAAAAGCTACTTCAGCAAAAGAAACAATCAGTGAGGTGAATAGAGAGCCTACAGAATGGGAGCAAATTTTTACCACACACACACACATCAGACAGAGCACTAATCTCTAGGGTATATAAAGAACTCAAAAAACTTAACACCAAAAAACTAATAACCCAGTCAATAAATGGGCTAATGAAATGAGCAGACACTTCACAGAAGAAGAAATACAATTGATCAACAAATTTATGAAAAAATTGCATTAGAGAAATCAAATCAAAACCAATCTAAGATTTCATCTCACTGCAGTCAGAATGGCAATTATCAAGAATTTAAGCAACAGTGAGTGCTGGCAAGGGTGTAGGGGGAAAAGTACATTGATTCATTGCTGATGGGATTGCAAAATGGTACAACCACTTTGGAAAGCAGTATGGAGACTCCTTAGACAACTTGGAATGGAACCACTATTTGACCCAGCTATCCCACTCCTGTCTATAACCAAAGGACTTAAAATCAGCACACCACAGCAATGCAGCCACCTCAATGTTTGTAGCAGCTCAATTCGCAATAGCTAAACTGTGGAAACATCCTCGATGCCCTTCAATAGATGAATGGATAAAGAAACTGTGATACATATATACATGATGGAATACTACTCAGCTTTAAGGAAAAATGAAATCATGGCATTTACAGGTAAAAAATGGATGGAATTGGAGAATATCATGCTAAGCAGAGTAAGCCAATCCCAAAAAAACAAAGGCTGAATGTTTTCTCTGATAAGTGGATGCTGATCCATAATGGTGGAGGGCAGGGCAAGGGAAGAATGGAGGAACTTTGGATTGAGCAGGGGTGGGGAGGGAAGGGGATATGTGAGGGGGGAAGATGGTGGAACGAGATGGACATTATTACCCCTATGTATGGGTATGATTGCACGAATGGTGTGACTCTACGTCACATACAATCAGAGAAATGAAAAGTTGTACTCCATTTGTGTAAAAAAATAAATTAATAAAAAAAGAATGATACTTCCTTACAATGGGATATCATTCAGAGATAAACATAAATGAGCTACCAAACCATGAAAACACATGCATGAAATTTAAATGTATATTGCTAACTGAAAGAGCCAGTGTGAAAGGCCACATGATGTATAACTCCAATTATTTGACATTTTCAAAAAGGCAAAATAATAGAGATAGTAGAAAAGAGACCTAGGGGAAGGGAGGAGAAGAATTAGTAGATGAAATGGGATTTTTATGGTAGTGAAGCTATTTCATATGATTCAGTAATGGTTTATAAGTACATGTCATTATGCATTTGTTAAAAGCCACAGAAGTATCTATGTACAACAGGAAGCGTGAACTTTGGACTGTAGTTGATAATAATGTATCAATATTTATTCATTAATTGTAACAAATGTACCACACTAATGCAAGATGTTAACAATAGGGGAAACCATGTGGGGGTAGGGCTCGGGTAAAGGTGGGAGTAGGAAGGAATTCATTACTCTGTAAATCTAAAACTGTACTAACTTTATTAATTATTTTTAAATTTGTTGACTAATTCAAGACAACTCAGATGTTAAACTAGTAACAGAATATGCCTCCTGAGAACTGAGGAATTCCAGCTGCCTCTGTTCACAGACTTACTGGGGACAATGTGTATTATCCAGGGTTACATGGCAATTGGGCTTCTTGGTGGAATTCTGACTTAAGGTTCTTGCTGACTTTGAGAAACCTAAATACACCCTTTTCTGGTAAAAAGTTTTTAGGTAAGTAGTCTGTGTAGTTCTTGGTTGTTAGTTTAAAAAAAAAAGGCACTCAGTGGAATGCATGATTTCCAGTAACAACCAAAGAGGGTAGTTGGCATTTTGGACTGAGAATCTTGCTCCTGGATTACCTGTCAAAGCCATATCTGGTCATCAATGTTATAGACAAGCAAGAATGAGGAGATGGGAGTTCTGCTTGTTCTAATAAAATTGAGTAAATATCTCGACCACGAGTGCTGGTTCATACGATAAGACTATGTTTAGCTTTGTAACAACTGCCGTACTATCTTCCAAAGTGGTTATATAGTTTGCATTTCCACCAGCAATGGAAGAACATTCTTGTTGCTCTGCAGCCTCATCAGCATTTGACATTGTCAAGGTTATTTGTTTTGGATTTTAGCCATTCTAACAAGAGCATAGTGTTTTTTGCTTTAATTTTCAATTTCCTAATGACATACAACCTTGAGCTTCTTTTTGTATATTTAGTTGCCATCTGGGTATCTTCTTTGGTGAGGTGTCTGTTTGTTTTGCCCATTTAAAAATTGGGTTCTTTGGGCTGGGGATATAGCTCAGTTGGTAGAGTGCTTGCCTTGAAGGCACAAGGCCCTGGATTTGATCTCTAACACCACACACACACACACACACACACACATATATACACACACAAAGGGTTGTTTGTTTGCTTATTGTTCAGTTTTAAGAGTTCTCTGTATATTTTGGGATTCAAGTCTTTTACCAGAAATGTATTTTGCAAATATGTTTTCCTCATCTATGATTTTTTCCTTTCATTTTTTTAACAATGTCTTTCACAAAGAAGAAAATTTAATTTTAATAAAGTCTACCTTTTCATTTTTTTCTTTCACACATTGTACATTGGTGTTGTATCTTAAAAACTGATTGCCAACTGTAAAGTCGCCTAGATTTTTTTCCTATGCTATCATTCTATAAGTTTTATGGTTTTGAATTTCAGGTTTAAGATCCACTATGAATTAATTTGGCAAATTAATTTAGGTGTAAGGACTATGTCTAGATTCATTTTTTAAAATATGGAGGTCTAGTTCCAGCACCATTTGTTGAAAAGACTATCCTTTCTCCATTAAATTCTCTTTGCTTCTTTGTCGAAGATCAATTGACTATATTTTTCTGGGTCCATTTCTGGGCTGTCTCTTCTGTTCCATTGACCAAGTTGTCCATTCTTTTGCCAGTACTACACTGTCTTGACCATCAGAGCTTTATAGAAGGTCTTAAAGTTGGATAGTGTCATTTTATTCTTCTGCAATATTGTGTTGGCTATTCTGGGCTTTTTGTCTTACCCTATAAACTTTAGAATCAAATTTACCAGTATCCCAAATAGTAACTTGCTGGGATCTTTATTGAATCATGTTAGGAAAACTGACACCTTAACAATATTGAATCTTCTTATCCCTGGAACATGAAATCTCTCTGTGTTTTGACTTCTTTGATCAGTTTTACAATTTTCTTCATACGGATCCTGTATATATTTTGTTAGATTTATGCTTATGATTTTTTGGTGCTAATGCAAATGTTTTAAAGTTCAAATTGCAACGACTGGTATATGGGAAAGCAACTGACTTTGTTTATGAACTTTATAGCCTATGACCTTGCTATAATTACCTTTTGGTTTCAGAAGTCTTCTGGTCAATTCTTTGGCATCTTCTATGCTATTAACATGATTTATGTGATTACATTAATTGATTTTCAATTAGTAAACCAATCTTACATATCTAGGATAAACCCCACTTGGTTATGGCATACAATACTTTTTATATATATTTTGAATTCAACTTGCTAATATTTAGCCTTTTGCATATATGTTCATGGGAGATATTGGTCTGTTGTTTTCCATTTTCTTTTTTTAAAAAATATGTATTTTTTAGTTATAGGTGGACACAATGTCTTTATTTTATATTTATGTGGTGCTGAGGATCAAACCCAGTGCCTCACGCATGCTAGGTGAGCGCTCTACCTCTGAGCCACAATCCCAGCCCATTGTTTTCCATTTTCATAGTGTCATTATTTGGTTTTAGAATCGGGGTAACACTGTCTTCACAGAATAAGTCAGGAAATATTCTCTCTGCTTATATTTTCTGAAGGAGGTTGTAGAAGATTGTATCATTTCTTCCTTTAAAGTTTGGTAGAATTCACTACTAACACCATCTGGGCCTGGTGCTTTCTTTTTAGAAAGTTGTTTATTATTATTGATGTTGTTATTATTATTTGTTTCTTTAATAGGAATAACCTATTCAGATTACCTATTTCTCCATGTAAATTTTGGTAGCTTGTGTCTTTCAAGGAGTTAATTCAGTTCATCTAAATTATCAAATTTGTATGCTTAAGAATGTTCATAAATATTCCTTTAATATTTTTGTTTTTAGTACTGGGGATTTAACCCAGGTACTTTACCACTGAGTTATATATCCAGCCCTTTTTATTTTTTATTTTTGAGACAGGCTCTCGCTAAATTGTTTAGGGCCTCACTAAGTTTCTGAGGATGACTTTGAACTTGCAATCTTCCTGCCTCAGCCTCCTGAGTCACTGGGATTACAGGAGTGCATGACCACATCCAGCTTCTTTATTATCCTTTTAATGTCCATGGGATCAGTAGTGATGGCCCCTCTTTCATTTCTGATGCTAATAATATGTCTTCTCTCTCTGATTTATCATTTAATTCCAATGTGATATGAGAGCATAGTTTGCGTGACTTTTATTATTTTAAATTTGTTCAGTTATATTTTATGGCCCAGATTCTGATCTTCATGGTGAATGCTCCTTGGGAGCTTGAGAAGAATGTACATTCTACTGTTGCTGGATGAAGTGTTCTATAAATGTCAATGAAATCCAGTTGATTTGTGATGCTGTTCAGTTCAACTATATATTTACTGAGTTTCTGCCTGCTGTATCTGTCACTTACTGATAGAGGATACTGAAGTTCACAACTATAATCTATAATTGTT